TCATAACAGTACAGGAATAATTTATGCAAAGATATATCCATGTTTTGCATTTTCTTCGATGTTTGCCGACATTTTTCTACCCTTCATTACTTACTCTATTTTATTTTCAACTTTTTTTTATTTTAACTGTTACTAATATATACATTGTACATGAAAATTGGTTCAAAACAGAAAAATATCAGCTAGTTGAAGCTTACTGACTAGACTGTCACATGTTCACTAGGGAATCTTATATTAGTTTTACCAATTACTCCCTTACTGATAATATGTACTGTCTACATGGTTTCTCAGAATGCAGGTGGCCCAGTCAATGAATTACACCTCATCCTTACTAATAATGGTTGTGTTACTGTAAATTACTTTATTTTCGCTTGGAATTTATTTTCGCATTTTTCACTGACGGATAATTCAGCGAATATACATTTTTTCCTATATTTTACACTTAAATCATCAAGAATCAGTGAAAATAAATTCCATACAAAACACCCAAAAAGTCTTTTCAGCGAAAATTAAGTATTTTACAGTATCAAATGTTAGATTCATTGATGGGTAGAAATGTGAAGTGTGATAATTTTTTTAAATAGACAAAATTCAAGTACCGGTAATTATATTTGTATAATACAAAAAGTACATGTCTCACCTTGAACATTTATGTAATATATTCAAAAAGAATTCTACAGGGAAAATTAGAAAACAAATATTTTGAAAAAAATAATTCCACGCACATTTAATTTAGAAAATCAAAATCAAATTATACTAACATTACCATAACTAAATCTAGAGCAAAATTAAGTGAAGGAGAAAAATTTTTTGCATTTAGTTCTAAATCAGACAAATGGAAACCTTGTGTGTAGAAGGAAGTACATTTAATTTTTGTTGGTGCAACATTTTGCTGTTTATGTATTTTTCAATATTTTTTCTTGATAATTTTGGACCAAAAAGACATAATTTCCTATTAGTTCCAAGTCTTGATCAAAATTTGTGAAAAATTATAAAAGAATTATTTGGTCTAAAATTTGTGATGCTGGGAAATTTTGACTTTGGCACTTAAAGTGTTAATGACATATTGCATATTGTACATGTATACAGTATTAATTACTTGTAATGATTTATTTATTTGTTAATTTCATTCCATAAAATTGTAGAATAATTTAATTCCATAAAATTGAAGAATAATTTAATTCCATAAAATTGTAGAATAATTTAATTCCATAAAATTGTAGAACAATTTAATTCCATAAAATTGTAGAATAATGCAGTTCATCTATATATGAACTCAGTCAGCATCTAACTAATTATACATGGAAACAGACGTTACTATTTCCTCTTTCTTGTCTTCATTTGCATATATTTTTGCTGTTCTCATCTTAGCTAGGGGGTCTTATAAATTTCCCCTTTTCCATATCATTTGAATATACATCTGCCGTTCTCGTTATAGCTAGGGGTCTTGCCATTCTGGTGTAATATCAGGATAATTATTGAGGTAACCTGGATGTCTAGTACAATAGTAACTTTTAGAAATTGCAATAATAAAATATGGGAGTAAACACTGATCTTATTTGATTGGTATTTAGGTCCTTCGTTTTGAATAAGGGGCATTTTGTAAGTCACTAAGAGCTATGTAGAGGTATAGAGAAGAAACATGCAATCAGTCAATGAACGTAATCACCATGGATTAAATTTCCACAGAGACCTCATTGTCTAAGCATCCCACCTGTCTACATTTTTTCTTTTTATATAGTCGCATATTTCTTTCATAAATTTCATGAGATATTTCAGAACTTTAGCATACGTTTTCTAATTACAGTGAATTGAGACAACTTTACATCCTAAATGTATAACACAAGCTTTACATTATTCATACCTGTCTTGTCACTTTTGATCTAATGTATATTATTATACATCTGTCACCATATAAGGAAATACGAATTTCTAATATGGAACGATTTACA